AGGGTTATAGTTTGTTTTTGTTTTAGCGTTTAGGGTTTAGGGTTTAGGGTTTAGTTTTTTTTTATGGGCCCTTTTCCAACTGCAGTACAGTATAGAATTCCTTACCAGGAGGAGCCTGCTATTGGGGCTCAGGGTTCAGGGATTGGGGTTTAGGAACCCTAGACCCTGAGGCCTTAAACCCCTAAACCCTAAACATCCTTAAACCCTAAACTCCTAAACTTAAACCCCAAACATTCCTAAAACCCCCCTAAACCCCGAAACCCCTAAACCCTAAACCCCAAACATTCCTAAAACCACCCTTTTTTGCAACTGAAGCCCCCCTAAACCCTAAACCCTAAACCCCTAGACCCGAAAGCCTGCTCGCACTTCAGGTCCGGCAAGCCCTCGATCTCCAAGATGCGGCCGTTGAAGATGTTCTTCTTCCCCTTTCGGGTTCAGGGTTTAGGGGTTTAGGGGTTTAGGGTTTAGGGTTTAGGGGTTTAGGGTTTAAGGTTTTGGGTTTAGGGTTTAGGGCTCAGGTTTTGGATGCTCTTCTTCCCCTTTCGGAAGCTTTAGGGCTCAGGGTTTAGGGTTCAGGGTGTTCTTCTTCCCCTTTCAGAAGATTTTTGGTTTAAGGTTTAGGGTGTTCGTCTTCCCCTTGCAGAAGCTTCAGGAGCTCCCGCAAATGAGGTTTTTGGGTTTAGGGATTGAGAGGTCTTCCCCTGTCAGGAAGCCAAGAAAAGGAGGTCAAAAGCTCTATTACACAATGAGGGTACCGCAAATATGAGGTAAGGTTTGTTACACGATGCCGGCTACGTCTCGATAGTGTATGGCTGTGTGCTTTTTGAACGAGGTTTAGGGTTTAGGGCTCACTAAATTCTAAACCCTAAACCCTAAACCCTAAACCCTATTCTTTGTCCCTCACCTTCTTCTCCACGGTCAGCAGCCCCTGCTGGATGGCATAGTACGGGATGGCATGGACCAGGTCCCGCAAGGTCACCCCCGGCTGCATCTTGCCACTGAAGCCTCGGATGCCCAGTTACCTATAGGATTTAAAGAGGGCTCTCTTTTTGGGTATGACCTGTATACGGAACCGTAACCCTAAACCCTAAACCCTAAACCCTGGGTTTAGGGTTTTTTTTCCCACCCGCCCAGGGTTTAGGGTTTAGGGTTTAAGGAACCCTAAGACTTCAAAAAGGGAAAAAGGCCCAACTGGGAGTCCCGGAAGCGGACCAGAACCGACTCGGGCATGTTCCTGGGCTTTGAAGTAACCAGGGAGAAAAAAGTATAGACTTTTATTTTATAATGGCTCCTTTAAGGAACAGGTCCCCCAAAAAGTACCCTAAACCCTAAACCCTAAACTCCAAAGCCCAGGTTCTCGTCCACACCCAGGTCAAAAAAAAGTATTAAAGTATGGTACTCCAAAGCCCAGCTTCAGGGGCATCACGCCGGTGGCAGCGCCGAAAGCCACCAGCCCGGAGCCGGCCGGGAAGGAGATGCCCAAAGGGAAGCGAGTGTGAGAGTCTCCTCGCTTTGGGCTTGGGGTTTAGGGTTTAGGGTTTAGGGTTTAGGGTTGATCCTTTTTTAAATGTGTGTTCGGGTTTAAGGTTTGGGAGCTTGCGGGTTTGGAGCTTAGGTTTTTTTGTTAACCTGTCCATGGGCTTCACTCTCCTCCAGTTCCGACCTCATCTGGCAGAAGCATTCGGTTCAGCCAGGAGTGGATGATCCCGTCGCCCGGGCGCAGGGCAACACCGCCGCGGTCGGCGATGAACTTGGGCAGGGTGCGGTGCGTGATAACATCCACAGGCTTCGGGTAGGCAGCAGTGTGGCAGAAAGACTGCATCACGAGGTCCGCCTGGGGGTTTCCGAAAACAGGGGACTCTAATATAGTACCCTAAATAGTCGGATCCCTATTATAAGGACCCCAAATAATAAGGTACCCCTCATTTTCGGAAACTCCCGCCTGGAATCCCAAGCAAGCCAAATCCTTAAGCTCATCGCGGGTCATGGGCCCGGTGGTGTCCTGGGAGCCCACCGTCCCCATGCGGGGCTCGCAGTAAGCCTGGGTTCTTGTTCGGGAACTTGCTGTAAACTACCACAATAAGGCAAAACGACCTTCTTGCTATACATGCCAGTTATGGTAACTTAAACTAATTAACCCCCAAACCCGAAACCCTATGTAAGCTCCTGAATAAGGACCCAGAAGCACCGGGCACCACACCATCAACGCCACAGGCCTTGCCAACCATCTTCTGGGCCAATGTGAAACCCTTCACATTCACATCTGGCTGAGCCATCCTGGGATCTTGTTTTAAGCAACGTCGTCACAGCTACTCTGCCAAAGCACAAAACCGGCGATGCTGGGTTCTGGTTTCAAGGAAGACGAATATGGGTTTTGGGGCTTAGGGTGGAAAGTCACGACAACTACTATGCTCAAGAAGCCACGGGCTACTATGTAGCTCGGCGATGCTCAATCTAAGCAAGTTCATCGTAAGAATACCACAGCAGATGCTTGAAAGCAACTAACAACCACATATTCGTCATTTCGTAACGTCAGTTCAGGATTCTTCTACAGTTAAATAAGCCCCTGTACACCCCACCCTGTACAAGAACCCCTAAACCCTAAACTCTATCACTCCATCACCCCTACAGCCCTAAAGCCCCTTATAAAAACCACCGGGGATCTGCTTGAAGGTGGTGGACATGCCCAAATTCAGGCTCTCACGGGCCTTGTTGGTGAGCCCACGGCCGATAATCAGCGGGATGCGGCCGCCCGCCTGCACCTGGTCCAGCATCAGCCCGTGCCTGTCTCAGGGTGTATAGGGCTCCGTTTTTGTTTTTAGGGTTTAGGGTTTAGGGTTCAGGGTTTAGGGGTTTAGGGTGCCTGACTTCATTTCAGGACTTCAGGTTATGGTGCAAGAGTAAGGAGAGCACGGGCATACAAAAATACTTGTCTTTATGAAGGCAACTAACTTTAACAACAAGAGCCCAGCCTTGTGGAGGAATTTCAACTAAGATTACCAGAATAAGGAACTCATAACAGGCAACGCAGAACCTTCATAACTAAATTTCTTGCTATGTGCTAACTTTATGCTAACTTAACTAACCCTAAAACCTAAAACCTAAACCCTAAACCGTGCACTAGAGCCGTAAGATCCCAGGTGCTTCAGGTCGAACTTGGTGATGACCTCGTCCGTACCATGCTTCTTGATAACCTGGGCTTTGTTGTAGGTTTAGGGTTTAGGGTTTAGGGTTTAGGGTTTAGGGTTTAGGGTTTAGGGTTTAGGGTTTAGGGTTTAGGGCTATAAGGCAATGTTCAGCTGCCTTGATAGGGAAATCATATTTGTTGTTTTTAGAAGACCCCTATTTTGGTAACTTGCGAACTTTAGTTCCTTAACAACAACGCAGTAGCTTGGTCATACACGCAAAGGTCGATGAGGTCACCCATGTTCACGTCCTTGACATCCATCTCCAAGGGTAGTGCACCGGAGTCCTCCATGGTATTGAAAAAGATGGGCGCGATAACGCCGCCAATCACGAAGCCACCGGTGCGCTTGTTCGGGGCGCAAGGGATATCCTGGCCCATGTACCAAAGGATAGAGTTTGTAGCCGACTTGCGCGAAGAGCCAGTGCCCACAACGTCTCCGACATAGGCGAGCTGGTGACCCTTCGTTTTCAGGTCTGCAATCTGCTGCGCGGCATTGGTGATGCCGTCTCGAGGAAACTTCAGCATTGCCAAGGCGTGCAGGGGGATGTCCTGAATTGCCCCCTTTAAACCCTCCAACAGCCTAGAATTTCTTGAACCCTTGCCCGGCCCTGTCGAAAAACGAAACAAAGCGTACTCATAGGACCAAGTGTCTGGACGTGACCAGGCGTCCGGGGCCGGCGACAGGTCATCGGTGTTTGTCTCACCGGTAACCTTGAAGACGCACAAAGTCACTTTCTCCGGGACTGTGGGGCGACTTGTGAACCAATCAGCATTTGCCCAGGACTCAATCACCTGCTTGGCAAAAGGATTTCCCTTCTTCATCTTGTCCTCGACGTCATGATACGCCTTAGTTGCTGAGTTCATAAGCCCCAAAAAGTGTACACTTTCAGTTCTATAAGGGATCACATAATCCCAAAAAGTGTAAAGTGTACTCACTCAGCTACTAAGAAGCGTCGAACATCAAGATCATGCGACTGAGGCCGGTCACGGCGCCAGAGGCAAGGTCCTGGTCGAGGTCCAGGGCCTCCACAAGTGGAGCGACGTTGTAACCTCCCTGCATCCATCCGAGCATCTCCACTGCATCCGCCTTGGAAACCAACGGTGTCGAGACGGTGCCATGGATGATGTCGCGGAGAAAGTTTGCCTTCACATAGCTGGAGTCGTCGACACCCGGGTTCACCCGGTTGCGTAGGAGGTCAACGTAAAAAGCACCATCGGCAGGAGCCTTCTTCAGCATCTCGACCACAGATTCGGCTTGGCTGGAATCCAAGGCTAAAGGTGGCAGGCCGCCTCAGTGCAGGTTCTTAACAGAAAAATAGACAACGGCCCTTTACTCCACTCCCTCACTAGGAACTCCTTAAAGCAAGTACCTTTAGCCCGGACCACTTTAAGAACAGCCCTTAAACACTAAACCCTCATCCTTTTGCGACTGCCGGGTACCCTGAAGAAAAAGCCCTAGAACCCCAAACCCCAAGCCCTTAAAGGAGAACCCTGGCCCCACCTTCTGCGGCGCGGTCGGCCACATGAGCCTCGTAAGCCGCCTTGAACGCTTCCGGCTGGGCCGAGAAAGCGCGGGCGTACTGTGCTGGCAGGGCCCGCTGCTGGACAACCTTGGCTGCCTGGAAGTCTAGGGATGATCATGTGTGTGTGTATATATATATATATACATTGATATAACATCGAACATATGTACATATACATACATAAGCATGTATATCAATACATAGAGAGAGAGAGATTTATCTAAATTTATGTATTTGTTTAGACGCGTGTGTGTGTGTGTGTATACACACATATATATATATATATATATGTGTGTATGTGAATATGGTTTAGGACTGTTATGGTTTAAAGCTTAGGGCAGTAAGGCTCAAGGCTTAAGCTTGGCTGGATTCTGGACCTTGCAATTCGAAACCCTGAACCCTGGAATCCAATTTCCGAAAAGTCCCAGCTCTTGTAACCGTATGTAGCGCCGGCCGCAAAAAAGCACGTAAGAAAAGCTTGGGGTTTAGGGCTTAGTGTGGGATAGGGATATCCCATATCAATCCCTTGATAACGAAGCCCAATTAGGTAGGTGTCCTTGTAACATGCTCATGTATGGACAAGACAACGCTGTAATCCTGCCTTGGCCAGCGGAAACCTGCGAAATGCCCGCATCATGCTTGCGAGAATGAAGGGACGAACCTTTCGGGGAAAGAAGCTGCTGGCTGCACCTCACTGGTACTTGCGCCAAAATGGCTTGACAGAACAAGTCAAGTTCCGAAATCGAGGAGTGCCAATGTAGATCAAGTAACAGGGTCCTGTCAAATAGGACCCCAGAACGCTCTGCGGAATCCAAGTGTAGCGTCAAAGTTAATTAGTCTTGTTTGCCGCACGGCAGGGGTTTCAGCACTCAGTAGGGGTTTAGGGTTCAGGGTTGGGGCTCAGGCCAGGTTTGAAGCAACGGAGAAGATGCGCGTAGATGAGGAATCCTTCAAGATCGCGCTGGCTCGAGACAGTCAGCCGCGTTGGGTATGCAAGGCAGCGTAGTTATTCCTGCGTTTGCGCACAAAACGCAGGGCTGGCGATTGGCAATCGGAGGAGTAGAGCCTCAGTATGCAGAGCTAGATATATATATATATATAGGCTTATATTGCTGTATAGTTCTGTACCAAATTGTTATTATGAACGTCAACATTACTATTGTCCTCAGAAAATAGGAACAAACAATAAGCATTCTGAGCACCTCTTTGCAAGCCAGCTGCCTTAATATAATTATAGTATGATATACCCCGAAACCCTATCCCGGAGGCTCCACATATGGTACCATTATGGAAGTAGGTCCCAAAAGACCATCCTTATTAAGGTTTTAGGGACATAATTCCATGATGGTACTATACATGGAGCCTCTGGGTATTCTAATCATTAAGTCCCCTACATTAAGCTGCCTTAATATAACTATAGTATAATATACCCCGAAACCTTATTCTAACCATTACGTCCCCTGCATTACCCCTAGGCCCCAAAGTAGTCCCTTTTGGGGGTTCATATTTAGCATTCTATAAGGTGATCCCAAAAAGGAACTACTATGGGGCCTATGGATAAACTAAACCCTTTATCCTATAAACCTTGAACCCTAAACCCTATAAGCCCTAAACCCTGAAGCCCTAAACCCTAAACCCGATAAACCCTAAACCCTGAAGCCCTAAACCCTAAACCCGATAAACCCTAAACCCTTTTTGCATCCAGGCCTATTGCGACTGCCGGGTACCCACCCTGAAGCCCTAAACCCTTTTGCATCCAGGACTCTTGCAAGCAGCCGGGAAACTCCACAAGACAGCGCGTAAACCCTCCAAGCCCTAAGCCCTAAACCCTATAAGTCCCCTACATTAAACTCAAAGCTCCTCGGGTTCGAAGATGGAGGCGCGGACGCGCATCTTCCTGGGGCGGAGGTTCTGAGTCGCACAAGGAACAGGCATGAAGGGATTTAGGGCTTTAGGGTTTTAGGGTTTGGGGGTTTGGGGGTTGGGGTTTAGGCTTTAGGGTTTGAGGTTTGGGGGTTTGGGGGTTGGGGTTTAGGGCTTTAGGGTTTGAGGTTTGGGGGTTTGGGGGTTGGGTTTAGGGCTTTCGGGCTTTAGGGTTTTAGGGTTTGGGGCTTTAGGGCTTTAGGGTTTTAGGGCTCAGGGTTGCAGGGTTTGGGGTTTAAGGGCTTAGTGTCTCGGCCGACGGGAACAAGGAGACACAGCGGAGGCCGCCC